TCAGGAAGTTAACAAGTATTTGTTGAGTATATGACATGTCCAGATATCATAATAAGCACTGAAGATAAAGCAATGACAAAGTCATACAAAGTTCTGTCCTCAGAAAGCTTACATTCTAGATAGGAATTGAGAAGTTCTGTGGAAGTTGAGAGACAGTTAAAGTTTAAACATGTATATGAGGGAAAAGGAAAGTAAATATCTCAGCTTATACTCCTTAGGGCTCCAACTTTAATATAATTCTACAGCCTCACTGGAACCTTAATCCAGTGATTCTACCATTTCCATTGTCATTCACCCTGTTCATGTTCCCGCTTTCTAACTTAAATTTCACAGCCAAGCTCTGTAATGTTTTTATTTCATGCATTTTCATCTCTCTTGCCTCTTTTTTGCTTTCTTTGCTTTGTCATGCTTATTCAGCTTAATCTCAAACCTGGTTAAATTCAGCTATACCTATCCTATTTCTATGCTCATGTAGCTGTTTATGGCTAGAGAAAATTATATAACCACACTAAATTGTCTCATTTTACCATAAATCATCACTAACTTCAAATGGGCTCTTATACTGCTAGGTAATCACATTATATTTTCCTAGTCCTTGCCCCTGTTACTCCTGGACAACAATTGCATATTTTCTTGTGTATCCTTTTGGTTTTTTGTTTGTGTGTGTTTTGTTTTGTTTTGGTAGAGATGAGGCCTCATGCTGTCACCAAGGCTGGAGTGCAGTGGCACAATCATAGTTCACTGTAGCCTTGAACTACTAGGTTCAAGCAATCCTCCCATCTCAGCCTCCTGAGTAGCTGGGACTACAGGCATGCCATCATGCCTGGCTAACAGTTACATAGTTTCTCTAGTCTCTTCAAACCTCCAAAACTTACTTTCCTGTTTTCAGTTTCAGCAATCACCATGTGTCCTCTTTCATTGAGAAAATTGAAACAATCAGATAAAAACTTCAATAGCTATCATGACATCTATCAACCTATCTGCTTGTATCTCCATGGCCTGCATATTCTCTCCTATTACAATTACTAAACTAAGTTTCTAACTAGGTGATTCACTTAACAGAATCATTCTGTCTCCTGGGTGTATGCTAAAGGGACTCAAAGATGCAAGCAGGGAGAGCAGTGTAGATGTTAATATAATAATCTGGATGAAAATGGATGGAGGCTTGCTTGAACCGGATGGTAGTTATTCACTAGACTCTACTTATACACTAGGTTCCACTTATACACTAGACTCTACCAGCTTTCACCTACTCAAGAATGTCAATCTAGCAATTTTTCCTTTGTTTCCTTTATGTTTTTCTGCTGAATCATTATGTAAATATATTGTCATCTCTTCTATTAAAAAAGAAACAATGGATCTAGGCTCTGTTTTAGTCATAAGCAATATAGTAATGAATTAAACAGACAAAAGTAAACTTACCTTCTATGGTAAAGATAGATACAATATGTTATAAATAAGTAATTATATGGGATATTAGTTAGTAATAAGTATTAAGGGAAAAATTAGAGCAGAAAAGGAGATAGGAATTATTGGTTATTTTTCTGGCAACATATTATAAAGGCTACCATTCCTACCTAAAAACACTTCAAATTCTAGAATGCTATTTTCTCCTGATTTTCTTCCTACCTTCTAGCTATTCCTTCTCAATCTCCTTTGCTTGTTCCTCCTCCATTTCAGTGAACTTAAACCAGAATGCCCCAAGACTGATTCTCTTAACTTTTTCTCTTTATATTTAAGCACTAGACGAATTCAACCAGCCCCATGCCTTTAAATGTCATTTGTAATCTGATGGATCATACATTTATATTTATAGTCTGGACCTATCCCCAGATTTCTAATATATACCCAGCTGTTTGACATCCATTTGGATGTTTAGTATCTCAAACTTAACATGTTCAAAACTGAGCTCCTGATATTCCTCTCATTGCTCCCACATTTTCCTACATCTATTCCATTCTTCCAGTTTCTCAGGTCAAAAACATTGGAATCATTCTTGACCCCTATATTTCTTTCACACCCTAAATTCAATTTGTTAACAAATCCTGCTGGCACAACCTTTACAATACACTCAGATTCTGACATTGCTCACCATCTCTACTATTACCACACAGTTCAAGCAAGCCTCTATCCATTTTTCACCTAGACTATTTTACTAACCTCTTCACTGCTCTCCTTGCTTCCAGCCTTGGTTCCCTTTAGGATATACTCAGGAGGTCGGATGATGCTGTTAAATGAAAGGTAGATTATATCACTTCCATTCTCAAAATCCTTATATCTCATGCTAAGTAAAAGTCTAGGTCTTTACCATATCCTAAAAAAACCTACATGATCTAGCTCTACTTTATCTCTCTGATCTTATCTCCTATGAATCTTCTTGGTATTCTAGAAAGTCAAGATCTTAAAGAATCTGAGATTTTATTCTACTTGTAAGCTAATAAAGTTAGTTTTCCAGTTTCGTGGGTGCTATTAGAAGACATGAAACTCCTGGATCAGAGACAAAGGATAATTTATTACTCAAAACAATCATAGAATATCAATATTTTGTGCTGGTTTCCTGAACTATAATTCCCACAGGATGATGAAAAGAAGCCTTCCCTTCTTTATTAGTTTGCTCAGGTTGCTGTAATGAAATACCACAGATTCAGTGGCTTAATCAACAGAAATTTATTTTCTCACAGTTCTGGAGACAGAAACTCCAAGTTCAAGGCGCCAGCAGGGTAGATGTCTACTGAGGGCTCTTCCTTTGGTTTGCAGATGGCTGCCTTCTTGCTGTGTGCTCACGTGGCCTTTTCTTTGTGTACACATTAGGAGGTGGAGAGAAACAGAAAGCATGCACCCTGTTATCTCTTTTTAAAATAACACTAATTCTGTCAGATTAGAACCATACCTTTATGATCTCATTTAACCTTAACTATTTCCTTAAAGGCTCCATCTTCAAATAGATCCATAGTGGGGGTTAGGGCTTTAACATAAGAATTTTTTTACAACAAGTTGGCAGGGGATGCAAACATTCAGTCTATAACACTATTTAAAATTTAACCACCTTTCCCCAGTAATTTCTATCTTCTCCTTTAATTTTTTCCTTAGTACTTATTACTATCTAATATCCCATATGATTACTTATTTATCAGACATATTATCTATCTCTACCATAGAAAGTAAGTTTTATGAAGGCAGGGACTTTTGTCTTTTTTATTCACTACCGTATTGCCTATAACTAAAATAGGGCCTAGAGCACAAATATGTCTTTGATACTATATGTGTTCATTGAATAAAGTCGTAGTGGGCAAGGCTGGTTATTTGGGAAAGCTAGAGTAAAGTTCACTCCTAGCCAGTGAGATCTTTAAGAGGAAAGTCCTAATTAATTAATTGTGTAATGAATTACTTATGGTAGACCGAATAAGATTTTCTTATTGAAGCCCTTATGTTTAAGCTTACTTTGTACCTTCTGAAGTAGTAGTAGCTGCTTATAATTTAGATTTACTTGAGGTTTTTTTTTCCAGTTAGTAAAGATTGAAGAAAGAATTCTAAAAGATTAATAATACATTGTTTGGAAACCTTAAACCCTGTATAAATCTAATGAACAGAATATATCCAAAGCATTTATGACCACAAATTAGGAAACAAAGCAGCTGTTTTGGCAAGGGCAGCTTATTGAGAAATTCATTTCGATGCTGACAGCTTGTATGGAATGAATATAAGTAAAATGGCTTCCAAAATGTGGATTTCTTGTCTTTTTAACCCACTGTCAGCCATCTCTAAATCAAGGATGCAGAAAAGTCTTTCTATGGCAGGTAGTTAAGAAAATTTGGTTTTTCTGAATAGCAGGATCAATCCTAGGTTAATTTTGATTAAATAATTCTTCATAGCTTTTGGCATTTTTTCTTCATGGGAGATTGGGAGAGATGTTCTTATCCCTTGATCCTTAAAATGCAGTACCTAAACTTCTAATCCCCTAACCTCTTCAGTTACCCTTATATACCTTTATAGGCTTCTTAGTTTTAAAGTAGATTTAAAAACACAACTAAGATATTAGATCATCCCAATATACTCTTTTCAATTTGATAAATTTTAAGGTCTTTATATGTACTTTCTAAATGAATATATTTTTGTCTGTTGCCCTTTCCTTTTCAATTCTCTGTTGCACGTACACCCTTGAGGCATATCAGTCTAAGCTAACATACTGTCTGCATAACGTTAGGACAAAGGAAAGAAAGGGCTAATAGGATACTGCTTAGGGAAAACTCTGGAAATATCCAAAGTTCAGTAGAGCCCAAACTACCTCCTAAGCTTTATAGTATATTGTCCTCCAAGACTGGGGAAAATCACCTGTAGACATAAATCTGGCATATATTGTCAACCCTGGAGAATCCAGGTGAGTAAAACTCCTTTCTGTGTAAAGATGCAAAAGCCTGCCTAAGAGTTGAAGGTAGTTATTTTGTCTTTTTTATATGATTAAAATTGCCATGATGAATTCTATATATTGAAATTTTATAAGCATTCAATTTTGAAGAAAAATCAAGCATTTTCTAGCAAATTAGCCTATGAAAAAAGAAAATGGAATAAGATGGTGTGATTATTCTTCAGTTGAAGTTATTTCAATAAATAAAATCTGTACATGTTTAAAATTTTCTTTTTTATAAAAGGATTTAAAGGGAAACCCAAGAATCCTAGGGTAGGAATCAGAAAAATCTGAATTCTAATCTAGGCTCTGACCTTACTTGCTAAACTTTCATAATCTTTCTGGGTCTGTTTTTTCTTTTCTTTTTTTTTTAATATAATGAGAAGGTTTGACCAGTTGATATCTTAAGCTCCTTTTAGACCTAACATTCTATGATTCCAACTTGTTATACTAGATGAACTCACAAATCAAATTCATATGCATTAGTGCAATATTATGACTCCATAGGTATAAAATGTCACAATGTAAAACTTTAATTGCCCATAGATGCTTTAGAACAAATTGACACGTCAGTGATGTGCAATTGTTTTTATAGGTACATTCCTCTCATTGAAAGGAGCTGTGCTAACATTCTCCTGTATGGACCGAACTGGCGGATTAATGCAACCTCCATATGAAGTTTGGAGGGATCCAAACAACATAGATGAAAATGAAAAATCTTGGAGAAGGAAAGTGGTAATGAACTCATCATCTGCATCCCAAGAAATAGGAGATCATCAATATACAATAATCTGCTCAGAAAAACAAGCCAAAGTCTTCTCACTGCCCTCTCAGACTTGCCTTTATGTTCATAACATCACGGAGACATCTTTTATACTGCAAGCAAATGTGGTGGTCATGTGTAACAGTGCCTGCTTGGCCTGCTTTTGTGCTAATGGACATATCATGATAATGAGGTACTTGCCTTCTTATAAATTATCTGGTAATCACAACAATACCAAAAAGGTACAATTCTAAAAAGTATATGTGTTATGTCCAAGTTGTTATTAAGAAGCAACCTGAGATTATTGTTTCATTATGTTTCTGAATGTTTTATTGTTCAACAATTTGATGAGAGTTTGGGGTGTTTGTGTTTTGTTTTGGTTTTTGGTTTTTCTTTTTTGCTAAAAATGCTTGGCATTGTGAGTGAAATATATTTTTAATTGCTATAAAGAGATAAAAGAAAAGAATGATTTTTCAATCATTTAACAAATATTTATTGAGCATATGTTATCTCCCAGATGCTATGCTAAGTACTGGAAATAAAAGATGAATAAGCTAAATGGAAAAGAAGTTAACTCTTACTTTTCCCAATTTCATATTTCGCCCAAGAGTTTTACATACAGAATTTCATTTGATCTTAGAACTTCTCTAGGGCATAGGAAAATAAAGTATCATTTTCATCCTCCATTTTACATGTGTTAATAAATTAAAGTTACACAATTTGCCTGAGGTTACAAGTCTAGGAAAAGTGAGACCAGTATTGAACAATATACTGAAAGTTATCAGACACTTTTAAAATAAGGTATCACCCAAGAGATTTCATTCTACTATTAGTGAAATTAAATAAAACTTATGAGACACAAAAATAATTGCCTAATGATTTTATGAATTCTGCAAATAGCTCATAAACATATACCATATAGAAGTCACTGCCATTCTCTTTAACATCTCACTTATTTCCAAAAATTATTGAGACAAGCATTGTACTAGGTCTGCGAAGGATATAAAAATTAGTAAAACATGGTCCTAACCCTTAAGAAACTCATTGTCTAACTGGGGAGATAAGACAGATACACAGACACTAGAACAAAAAGAAAATGTAAATTCCAACAGAGGAAATATGGGATTAGTTACAACTAAAGTTCCCAGAGTTCAAAGTCATAGCATAGTTGAACATGTATTATAAAAGAAGAGTTGTGGAGAGGCAAGTAACCTGGAGAGGTAGATTAAAGCAAATTGTTGAGGACCTTGAATGTCAGGCTGAGTTTGACATTAATCAATTAATAGGCAATGAGCTTTTAAGAAGGTAATTAACCTTCTCTAACTATGTGTTAGGATACACACATGGAGGGCAAGCTTGAGATAGGCTTTTGAACTGAAATGGTGTCTATACTGAAGGCAAGGAGGGAACAGGTGTAAGGGAAACTTATTGAGTGCAAAGCTAATTGGTTGTGAACAATAATGGAGATTGTTAAATCCTGAGGTTAAAAGAGAGTTTAAATGTTAGAAATTTTTTTGAACTTAGATAACAGTTATGTTATTAACATGTGGAAAAGTCAGAATGATTTTTTAAAGCTGATAATGAGAAATTTAAGAATAAATTCAGAATAACTATTTGAAATTTGAGGTGTTATAAGCCATCCAGCAGAGATTTAGCAATAAATTTAAGATTTGCACTCTTAGAAAAATATATGTGGAAGATCCAGCTTTGGAAGTCATCTACGTAAATGCATCAGTCAAAGTTATGTCAGCAAATGAGATAATCAAAAAAGATAGCATAAAAAGAAATGAGATATAGACTGGGCTAAGGATAGAAACCTGGGGGTATTCTACATTTATGTAGTGAAAGAAAGAAGACAATGCAGCAAAGGAGATTAAGAAGTCATTAGAAAGATAGGAAAGGACCAGAATTATATAACTTCATTAAATAAAAAGAGAAGAATATTAAAAGAGGCAGTAAAATATAGCAGAGAGATCAAAGAATTTGGGTAAAAGAAAAAACAGTAGATCTCACAACTGGTGGGATATTAATAAAAGGTCTTAGCAGCATGGTGGAAACAAAAGCTAATTTTCAAGGAGACAAGAATAGAGGCAGTGGTGTAGATCAGGGTTTGGCCAATTAATACCCACAAACTACCTCCATTCCCCTATCTGATTTTGTACAGCCTGCAAGCATTAAGAATGATTTTTACATATTTAAAGGTTGAAAAAATCGTAGAGAAGAAGAATATTTCATGATATGTGAAAATCATACTAATTTTAAATGTCAATGCCCATAAAGTTTTTTGGGGAACATAGCCACACTCGTATTTCTGTATATTGACTTTGGCTGCTTTTGCACTACAGGGCAGAGTTGAGTAGTTGCAACAGAGACTCTATGGCCTAGAGAGCCTAAAATATTTACTATCATAAATATTTATGGGCCTTTTGCCTTGGTATTTATTATTCTTTCAGAAAGTTTTGTGGTCAAAAGAGAGATGAGACAGGAAAGTCATTTAAGAGTGAAACTAGGTCTTGAGAGCGTTTTATTTTTCTTAATAGGGAAAATATGTGCAAGTTTGTAAGCCAAGGGAAAATAGTGAAGGAGGAAGTTTTGAATAAAAATAATCATTTTATGGTCTGTTCATTTTCTCATATATTTCTGATTCTTTCCTATCTAGTTTCCCCTTTCTCAAACTGTTTTTGGAAATTTAAGATTGATAAGGTCATTTCAATCTTGTTTGAAAATGATTTAACTCCCAGACATGGCTCAGATTTGGAAAAAAAAAGTATATTTGTGTGTGTGTGTGTAAATATGTGTATCATCTCACACACACATAGATTGAGTCATTGATAAATGGTATCTGTCTTCCTCTGTCCTTTATAAAAGCCGCTTGACATGATAATGGCTACTTTGATATTATGTCATAGTAGAAATTCTTCATGTGTTCCTAAGGATCCTCAAAAATATCCAAAAAGGAAATAATTTTGATATTATTTTAATAATACATATACATAAAGTGTAGCTAGGAAACAATGGTGTGTGCTCTGCTATGTGGTTTAAAGAAATGAATCCTACAAATTAGCATGCACCTGGCCTCATTCATTTTCCCATACTGAGTATATTCCCAGGATCTTTCCAGACCCTATCAGAAGGTAACTCTCATAAGCCAGGTTTTCTCAAGTCCTAGTTTTCTGATAGATATCAGGTAGCTAGTTAATTATTACTTAGATCCTAAGTACCCAGACCTAGAAAAACAAGTTTGAGAGTAGAGAGAGAAATAGAAGAGGTTTATCTTTGTATGAATTCTCAAACTTGGCTTTAGGAGCCACTTTTTGTGAGATTTACCTTTAGTTACCTGATGCTATTTCTTTATTAAAGGGTCCTGCATAGAAGAAAGTCTTTTTTCCTCTGTTTTAAGAGCAATTGTTTTCTAGCAGTTAGCAACTGACTTGCTCTCTTTTCCTATCTGAAGTGACTACACCTCTATAATTTTCTTTTCTTGGCTTACTTTTTATTATGCAATATAGACAATGTAGCCCATCAGAAAAGTCAGTTGGAACCTCTTCCTCAGTATGAATGAATCTATCATGGAAATATGTTTAAGTGGGATTGTTTTGGACTCATGTCTTAAGAAGCTTAGTTACCAGAAGTGCTATAACAGATCATCTTTTAATATCCTTTTAAGATATTAGGTAATTCTTTCATCAATGAAGCTTTTGGAATCTAATGTGTAATTTACATTTACAATGCCTTTCAATTCAGACCAGCCATATATCAACTGCTCAATAGCCAGTTTGGTTATTGGCTACCATATTGGACAGTACAGTTCTTATTCCAATAACACAGATTTCAGATCCCATTTTACATAGCAAATTTCCACAGCTCAAAGTATAGTTACAAACCACTTTGATAAAGGAAATCAGTATTTTTTCAAGGTGCTGGTTTTATGATCTGGGACAATTTAAAATCATTGTGCACACTTAGTATAATGGTTTCAAAATTTACTTAATTATAAGTTTACCTTTTCCCTTTTGGCATTAAAGGTCTGAATAAAAAGCAATGAGACTGGTTTTCTTCAGTGGTTTGTAAAACTGGCTCGAACAATAGTATCCAAAAGGACATTCTGATGAATATTTTAGCAAAATTATCAGCTACATTAGGATAAGCTTATAGGTATGGGGTAAGACACTTCAGATGTGTGGCATTCATTTGGATGTGCAAATTCTCATCTATTATTTATAACTTAGTCCCATTACCTTAACGGTCTTGGCTATATTTACTTATTAGTCATGCCTCCAGTGCAGTTGCCCTAAGTTATGGTTAATTATCTCTTCCTGTATATACAGTAAAGGAATGGGGAGCAAAGCCACTTCATTTCCAGGCACAGTGAACTGGGCCCACACTGCAACTCTGTCAGTTTTGCCTTAAAGAAAGACAATAGAACAAGTATGCAGTCAGATACTTTTTAGCTGTGGTGTTTCTGAAATAACCAAAGGCTATAAATTATATTGTAGGAACATGTGAAGTGCTACAAAAAGTGCCCCTGAAATTGCTGGCCACTGCATTTAATCCATCAAGAACATTTGCTAAGCATCTATGTGAATTAAGATAAAAGAACTGTGCCTATGATTTTTTTTATGTATATGATTTTAAGTGAAAGTCTAGTTTATTACCACTGAGCCTTGAAGATAAGAAGAAACAACCAGGCCGGGTATGGTGGATCATGCCTGTAATCCCAGCACTTTGGGAGGCCAAGGCAGGTGGATCACTTGAGGTCAGGAGTTCAAGACCAGCCTGGCCAACATGGTAGAACCCTGTCTCTACCAAAAATACAAAAATTAGCCAGGTGTGGTGGTGCATGTCTGCAGTTCCAGCTACTCAGGAGGCTGAGGTGTGAGAATCACTTGAACCTGGGAGGCGAGGTTGCAGTGAGCTGAGGTCACTCCACTGCATTCCAGCTTGGGTGATAGAGCGAAACTCTCAAAAGATATAAAAATAAAAAAAATAAAAATAAACCACCATAAAATAATGGTATAAAAATCACTGTTTATGTAAAGGTCTGCCTCTAACAACCTGCATGTGATATATGGATTTACTTTTTTCCATTCAGCCTACCTAGTCTTCGCCCAATGTTGGATGTTAATTATTTGCCACTGACAGATATGAGGATAGCACGAACATTTTGTTTTACCAATGAAGGACAGGCATTATACCTCGTCTCTCCTACTGAAATTCAGCGGTTAACATACAGCCAAGAAATGTGTGATAATCTACAGGTAGGTCAGGAGGTACATTTATGAAAAAGACATTGGACATGGTTGAGAGAATAAGAAAGATGTCTAAAAGCTAAAATATTATTATGTCAGACAATACATATGCCCTTCCAATAACATGTTTTGAATATATATTCTTCGTTTTGAGCCTACCAACTTCTAGAATGGTTCTAGTCATTGCACAGAAGTACTAAGAAAGATGAAGACAATGCAAAGATCATTCATATTAATAGCTAATCTTTTTATTTATTTATTTTATAGTTTGGTTTTACCCATGGAGAATCTTAAAAAAGATTATAAATTCTCCCTTCAGGGTGAGAAATATGTATGTACACACACAAAAAAAAATAAGTTTTCTTCAAAAGAGTCCTTGAATTCCACTCAGATAGTTCAAGGACTCCTTTGAAGAAATCTTAATTGTGATTAAGGGACACACAAAATAAACATATATCCTGTAGGTTAGAATTGAGCATTTGTCTTTGATTGTAGCAGTAAGCATAGCCCAGGTAGAGGATAGATATAAATGTCTAAACTTTGGTAAGAATGGTCACAATTTTTTTAAAGCATCTTAGACATTTAACTGGTTAAACCCCCTCATTTTACAAATAAGAACATTAAAATGTATTTATTATACTATATAGGTTAAGAGCATAAGCTCTGAACTATTCGACCTGTATTTTGGCTCCTCCATCTGTGTGACTTTGGGCATTTTACTTAACCTATCCATACACTCTACTTTGGAGCATTGTCATAATTTAGTAAGAATTCATATAAAGAACTAAGCTCAATGCCTGGAATATATGTTTTAAAATAAATAATAATAAATATTATTATCGTCACCATTGTCATTCAACAGATTATTTATTGAATTTTTACTATATGCCTAATACTTGGCTAGACTCTAGGAACACGCTAATAATTAAGATACAAGTCCCTGCCTGCTAGTGGGGAGAGACAAAAGTAAACAGACAATCACACCACTCTGTGAAAACTGCTATGTATAGCTGTGGCAGTACTGGGGAGATGTATAAGAAGGACGCCTGAGTTGATGGAGCAGAAGGGAGGCAGTTTAGCCACTTGACTCTCTAAGATGCTTTTTTAAAATTTTGTGACCCTCCTTACTCAAGGTTAGATAAACTTTTACAGCTATCCTGTTTCTAGTCTATGCTTACTGCTACAATCAGAGACAAATGCCCAATTTTAACCCACTGGATATGTGAATTTATTTTGTGTGTCCCATAATCAAAAGAAGTTAGTTTGAGAAGGATTGTGGGCACAACTGACTTCCAAATGGTAAATAGGTGTTATCCAGGTGACTGAATGGTTGGGGATGAATAAGGTAAGATACTCTAGACAGAAGCAGTGGCGTGCAAAAGCCTCAGGGCTAAGGAAACTGCCCAGAGAGTGAGGAATTAGGAAGTGAAAAGAGTGGAGATGTGCGGGAGAAAGAGTAGATCTTGCAGCCCCTTGTAAGCTCCTCAAGGGATCTATTATAGCATTTATCCCAAGGACAGTGGTAAGTCATTAAGTTTTAGCAGATTTGTTTATTAAAATAAATATTCTAGTTATAGTATGGTGGTTGGTTTTCCGGAAGCATCAGGATGGAGAAAAGTTAGCAGATTCAATAGCTATAAAGTATACAGTGCCCTATTTCATAGGGCAACTGGATTTAGGGTTATTAAATAGGAGTGACGGAAAGGAAGGAATTAGTCATTTCTCGGTTTCTGGCTTGGGGAACCAAATAGATGATGCTGCCATTTCCAAAGAGAAGGGCTTCAGGAGAAAGAGCACAGGTCTCAGTAGAGGTAGTGGAGATGATGAAATTAAAATCATACTGGAAGTTCATAGAAAATTAGGTCACAGATCTCCTGACTCGGTCTAAGATCCTTTCTCCACACTGACAGTTCTTAAACTTTGGTCTGCTTTAGAGAGACCTGGGGAGCAAGGTATAATCTTGACAAATAAACTCATCTATGTAGATTCTTATTTCATATATGTGGAATGCAGCCTGAATATCTGCATTTCTAACAAGCATTTCTCTAGTCATTGTAAAGCTCACCAAATATTGAGAACAATTGTACTTCACCCTATACAGTAGCTGTCTATTTTGACTCATTTAAACTATCTTTAACCATTTTATAATTTTGTACCTCCTAGAAAAAGAGATCCAACCTTCTTCCACATACCACCAAAGCTTTCCTATTTCATAGGGCTGTCTATGCTTGGTTCAGGGAAGGGTACCAGGATAAAAAAGAGACTATAGTGACTGAAAAAGGATCCAATGTCTAGTGGTAATTATTGAGCACAGGTGAAAATTAATCCTAGGGTAGATAAATTGGCTTCCCATGCTTTCTAATAGTGGAGGGAAGAAGAAAAGAGCACAGATAAAGGGAAATTTTAGAACATGTGTTACTATCGAAGGGGAGGAAAAGGAGATGGTAAAAGAAATGCCAGATGGAGAACTGTGAGCACAGCAAAAATAAGCATGAAAATGTATGAACAGCAGAGTGTCTTTTCATGATGTGTTCTAATATAACACAGTGTTACCTTTTTGTATACTAATTGATTTTTTAGTTGTTCTAATGCTTTTCTCTTTGAATTTGATACAGGACATGCTAGGAGATTTGTTTACTCCCATAGAGACACCAGAAGCTCAAAACAGAGGCTTTCTCAAGGGACTGTTTGGAGGAAGTGGACAAACGTTTGACAGAGAAGAGCTCTGTGAGTAAATTCCTGATTATAAAAATGCATTGCAAAATAGAAGACATGTTTCTGTGTATACTTGTGTGTAACTTAATGTAATATGTGATCTCAAATTCTAAACTATGTATTAATTTGCATCTATCTTAAAGTTTGAATATTTGTTTCCTTCTGTACCATAAAAATTATTTATGTTTACCAAACATGAATAAAAGTGGTCACTTCATATTAGGAAATTGTTTAACAAAAATGATACACATAATTCATAAAAATAATGAGCAAGCTAATAAATATCTCATTTGCAAGTAGATCATAGCTTCATGGCAATGTGAAGGCATTCAAAAAAGTCTGGAAGAAAGATTTTTGAATCTGCCTGACTTTAATCACTGATGGAAAACAGATTCCTTATCTTGCATGTAAGATTTATCAATGCTACAGAATAAATTACTTTAAAAATCTACCAGTGAGACAAAATGGAAAAGTATTGCTGTTTATCAAAGTCTCACTGGTAGATTTTTATTTATTTGTTTGTTTATTTATTTATATTTTTATTTTTTGAGATGGAGACACATTCTGTTGCCCAGGCTAGAGTGCAGTGGCCTGATCTTGGCTCACTGAAACCTCTGTCTCCTGGGTTCAAGCAATTCTCCTGCCTCAGCCTCTCAAATAGCTGGGATTACAGGCACCCAACCATGTCTGGCTAACTTTTGTGTTTTTAGTAGAGATGGGGTTTCACTATGTTGGCCAGGTTGGTCTCGAACTCCTGACCTCGATGATCCACCCGCCTCAGCCTCTCAAAGTGCTGGGGTTACAGTCATGAGCCGCTGTGCCCAGCTTCACTGGTAGATTTTTAAATAATAGGAAAATACTAGGGAAAATTTTCAGAGAGAAGGTATGAATATATTCTCCAGAATATCCTACCATCATTTGGTCTTATAGATCAAAATTCTTTCTTTGGAACTTTTAACTATGCAAAAATGTCTAGGTTCCTTTGTGCAATAGAATATTATTTGACCATGAAAAGAAATGAAGTACTGATACATGGTAAAACATGGATAAACCTTAAAAACATCTTGCTAAGTGAAAGAAGCCAGACAAGAAGGCCACATATTATATGATTCCATTTATATAAAATATCTAGAATGGGCAAATTCAGAGAGACTAAAAGTAGATTAATGATTGCCGGGGGCTGAGGCAAGGAAGGAAGGAAGGAGTGACTGCCATGAATATGGGATTTCTTTTTCGAGTAATGTATATGTTCTACAATCAGATAGTGGTGATGGTTACACAACTTTGTGAATACACTAAAAACAAGTGAATTGTACACTTTAAATGGATAAATTTTTTGTGAATTATATCTCAACAAGGCTCTTATTTTTTAAAAAAAACTAGATTCCAACCACTCATTAAAAAATCCAGAATTCGTTCAAATATTACATCCTTGGGAATTCTCACTAAATTTCTGCCAAAATAGTTGTTTTTCCTTTAAAAAAAATTTAAAAAGACAGAATCTCGCTTGGTTCCCCAGGCCCTAGAGTAAAGTGGCACAATGAGGTCACTGTAGCCTCAAACTCCTGGACTCAAGTGATCCTCCTGCCTCAGCCACCTGGGTAGCTAGGACTACAGGCATTCACTTCTATGCTTGGCTAATTTTTGATTGCTGTTTTTCAATTTAAAAATGTTTTACTTTATGGATAGCTGGTACAGTGGTATGCACTTGTAGTCCCAGCTCCTTGGGAGGCTGAGATGGGAAGATTGCTTGATGCCAGCAGTTTGAGTCAAGCCTAGGCAACATAGCAAGACTTCGTCTATAAAAATATTTTTTTTTACTTCATTGAAATTGAATAAAGCTGAGCTTTGTAGGTGACTGGGAAATTCTTTTAGTCTTTCATAAATCACAGTTTGTTTTTTTTTTTTTTTGAGGCAAAGTCTCACTCTGCCACCCTGGCTGGAGTGCAGAGGCATGGTCTCAGCTCACTGCAACCTCTACCTCCTAAGTTCAGGAGATTCTCGTGCCTCAGCCTCCCAAGTAGCTTGAATTACAGGCATGTGCAAACACATCCAGCTAATTTTTGTATTTTTAGTAGAGATGGAGTTTTGCCATGTTGCCAGGCTGGTCTAGAACTCCTGACTTCAGGTGATCTGCCCGCCTCAGCCTCCAAAAATGCTAAGATTACAGGTGTGAGCCACCATGCCCAGCCACAAATTTTTAACATATGTAACATATATATAACATATGTTGTGTTTGTTTTATAAATCACATTTTTAACATACGTAACCATCATTCATATATTTATATACCCCATTTTTCAGTATTTACATAGAGACAGAAAGAGAGAAAGAGAACCTGAGACCTACTGAGGCTTATATATGAAGGTGAACAGAGTGAACAGAGAAGGCTGAAATAAAAACTAAGGCAGAAACTTAAGAAAATCATCAGGCCTAAGCTTGGAACAGATATTAATATGGGTTAAATATGAGGTCACATATTTTGAATATTTCAATTCAGCATCAAGAAATGCAATTAGGTCATATTGTATGGAACACATACACATACAAAAAGGCCTATAACAACAATATACCTCACAGTCTCTTTCTTAGCATTTTTCTTGAGTAAGTGCTAACATCTCCCAACACACATATATGACTGGACCAAATAAGACTCTCTTGTACTGAGAATTATGACAGTAGAATGTAATATTAGTACTTTGTCTTGGTGACAAGCTTGACTGTTTGAATCACTGACAAAATTTTTTAAATTGCTATTGCTTAAATTCTCAGTTGGGGAAGCTTCAGCAGGAAAAGCATCCCGCAGCCTTGCGCAACACATTCCTGGACCAGGTAGTATAGAAGGGATGAAAGGCGCTGCTGGAGGGGTGATGGGAGAGCTGACCCGTGCACGAATTGCACTTGACGAAAGAGGACAGAGGCTAGGAGAGCTGGAAGAGAAAACTGCAGGCATGATGACCAGTGCAGAAGCATTTTCCAAACATGCACATGAGGTAAACTGCCTAAGTAAATATAGACATCTTCATATAGGAGTAACTTTAAGCATTTAGGCTCTGCACAAGAAAGAGATTCTTGTGCTTCAGCCTCCCAAGTAGCTGGGACTACAGGGATTATCCACATAAGTAATCCTGTTTGAGAATCATAATTACCTGGATCTCTTTGAGTATTATAACTCCCCCAATGCTTGGGACATAGAAATGTTTAAAAAAAAAAAAAACTTTAATGTATTGATACTTCTTTATCTTAGGGGATAAAGAAAATTATCCATTGGTTCTGATACATTGGGTCTATATTGTGCATCAGCTGCCTAAAAGGTGTTTCAGTGGGTTATATGACCCCAAACACACCCACCAAGAAGGTGTGGTGGGCAGTGGAGGATGGGATCCACATCTTGCATTTTGTCTCATCATTAAAAATCATTTTCCATCAGCTGAGTCTTTACAGCTTGTTTTTTTATTTTTAAAATCTTTTTCATATGCACTTTATTTCATAAAATAAAAGAAGCCATTCAGTTTGATTATAAGTTTTGAGATTAGTTAGATTTGCATGATTAGCTCAAAATGGGCTTGCTTTTAATAGCACTTTTAAAGTATTTTAGCATCTTACAGTGGCTATTTTTTCTTTGCAGTTAATGCTGAAATACAAGGATAAGAAATGGTACCAATTCTAAACTTCTAAAGAAGCTGTGACTGCTTTGAGAAACAATATTCAGGGAAACCAAATTTATTCCCAGCATCACTATTCAACTGCTAGAAGCCAGTTTCTTCTACAAAATGTTCCATTTACAGTCAATCTGAAATTATCTTAAAGGAGATGTATCAGAGACACTATACAACCCAAAGGCTGGAGCCCTGGTTAAAATCCCAAGATATGGCTGATTTTGCCTTTTCCCATGTGGAATGGAGCTATCATCTTGGCATGTCATTCGATAAGGATTTATATTTAGGAACTAAGGGGAGTCCTCTTGATTTGAAAATTCCTGTACAAACAAAAGCATTAATGCACTTAATGAAAAAAATCTTTGCATGATAAATTAACATCTTAAGAGGAAAAGAAAAAAAAGCATGTTGTGACAGAAGAAAAAAAGATTCATGGTAAACTATTTCTATTAATTGGGCCACATTCAACAATTTTAAAAATCTGCATTTGAAGATATCAGTGCATTTCAAATATATTTGCCATACCCAACTGAAAAGGAAAACAAAACAAAACAAGAACCCAGAGTTTTCTCATCTGTAACTTTCATTGTACTAGAACATTATTGAATTCTTATGGCAAGAGTCTGATCAATGTTCTCTCTCCATGTTTTACATCATTCAGAGTTCTCAGTCATAATCAAATATTGCCAGCCAGTATAGTAAGTTATTTCCAACACAATTATTTTCATTTCTATCACCTTCAGAATGGGTTGCTGTTTTTAGCACAAACCATGAAAGGTTGGGTCACCTCAAAGCATTTTCTTTAGCCTGGCTTGTATTCTACAGGGAAGTTGGTAGTAGGTTTGGGGAAACTATAGGAATAATAGGGTTAGCTATGAGAACTGACTTCACAAAAAGTGAAATTTCACATATCCCAATTTCAGTTTCTAAAGTGATATATTTTTAAAGTTTAATTTATATCCTTGTCTGCCTGTTACACAGTATATTACTGTTCAAACCCAGTAAGGTCTGTAACCTGAAAGTGCTTTTGCAGCCTGACATTCACAAACCAAACTGGTCATTCTCTTTAGTGTGATTCAGTAAAACCTCAGTTAATATTTTGAGAAAGGGATTCTGATTTATGACATTTCTGATTTACAAGGGCTTTCATTAGAAAATACCTTTTGGTTCAATACTTACCCCTGGATATTTTTATAAAATATAGTGATGTGTTTGCTATCTTGGCCTCACTCATCATTACAGACAACAGAAATACATAAAGAGTTTAATGATATAAAATCAATTATTTTGTCACTAGGTCAAATAATATAAGCCATCAGATTATGTCAATAGATGCCAAACACCTGTCCCTTGTTAAAAACTCTTTTAAAGCTGGAATAAAGAATATCCTTAACATGATACAAGGTATCTATCTTAACTCACCAGAAAAGCACTAGCGTCAAAACAAAATAAAGGCATCTACTACCATTTAACATGATTCTGGAAGCTAAAAGTTATAGGAATGTATATGTACATATTCAGGACGCATCCTGTAATATGTTGTTCCTTCAAAAATGTTTAATTATGGTTTTGGCTTATTGAATTTTTGTTAATCAAGGTCTTATTGGATTTACATTTATGTTTCTGAAGACTTCGCCGTTTTTCTGGATTTCAGCTAATTTTAATAGCCAAAAATGGTATTTTTATTTCCTTTTTAGTGTAATTTTTTGCTAGAAATAGTAGTTTCTAGCAAATGTTTCTAGTAGTACAATGTTCTCAGTAATTTTGGGGAGAAAAAAGATGAGTGAAAGAGTTATATAATGTACACTAGGACAGCATTTCTCAGAGTCCGTGAATCCACTTGTTAAAAAAGCCTCTCTGTGAATCTCCCAGTCTCCTGAGAGATTAGGCAAATTAAGCTTTATTGTGCAGCCTTACAGTCACAGAATCTGACTTGGAAACACAGACATTACATGACTTTATCATTTATAAAATTATAAAATTATATGGTAGAAATATTAAAGAAACTTAAGATTGGGGTCTAGAAAATGCTGGTGGCCAAATTGTATATATTATTTGTACCATCAGTTTCAAGGACTTAGTTTTCTGATTTTTAGAACAAATACTTTACCATTTCTGTATTTTAAAAAAAACTAAAGGAGTAAAATATTCATTTATTTTAGAAATAATGAAACTCAGTCCAAAGTAGCATTACATTTGATGAGTATCTCTGAAGCCCTCAATAAGATTTAACTTGTTTTAACTTGTTCTACATTGAGATTTCTCAATAGTGGCACTATTAGCAGAAAGTCTTTGTTGTGGGAAACTGTCCTGTGTATTGCAGGATGTTAGTGACATCCCTGGCCTCTGTCTACTAGATGCCAGTAGGAACCTCCTAGTAATGACAATCAAAATGTCTCCAGCCATTGCCAAAATTTATCCCTGTTTACAGCCACTATTCTACATCATATAAAGAGGTAGATTGTGTGAATATGTAATAAATGTTGTTGTATAAATCTGTACAATAAGTATACAATGTCTTAGCAAGATAAATTATTATACCCAAAATTACACATGTGGTTCACATGCAATAAAATAGAATTTTGAAGAAAGCTTATATGAATCAGTGAAAAATAACAACTACAGAATATTTTAAGACACACAGAGAAAATATCAAAAAGGACATTATAGCATTTCACAGTAGAAGTGCCTAAAACTTTGGCTTCAGTGAATAGATCAAAAGTTTATAATTAACATGCCAATTGGAAGTAAATAGGTGTTTCTAAAATGCTTGAAAAGAAAAGGTTCTTTGAAGTCGTTCAAACATGTCTTTCAAAATTGTTTTTATAAGCCCTTCCTTAACATTAAGGGTAACTTCATCTCACAAACTCCTGGTTATTGGAATCCAAATTAATGAGGTTTTACTGTATCAAAATTATTTTTATAATTCAAAGAGATAGCAATAACAAGAATCTAACGTGGATGTGATTTTTCTCTTTGAACATTTCTGTTCTGTTGCACTGACCTTAGCATACACACACGCGCATACACACACACACCCCCCATCACAATTACCATCACCATCACTATCACCATCACCACCACCGCTACCATCATTATCTTATCCTCATCTTTGGAAAATGAGTATTGTTGATCCACGTAGTCCTTTGCATCGTCTCATCTTTACTATCTTCCTTCTATTTTGGAACATAAGAAAAATACTCCTAATAACTTGGACAATGATACAGAAAGTGACCCTGAGCCTTAGTTATCATCAAAACTACACTCTATCTGCTAAAGCAACATCCGAAGATAAGGCTTGCAAACCACAGTCCCAACAAGTTGACCTTGTCTCCCTGAGTCCTTCAAGAGATAAGCCCTTTTTAGTGTCACAGCAGAAAATGGGCCTTTTCATTCTATTCATCAATGAGAAGCTAGGAGTATTTGTTTCCCTGATAGTAACATGGGCAATAATCCCTACCTTAAAATCATCCATTAATCTGGGAGTTTGGAGGGAGGGATGATTGATTTGTCATTTGTTTTATTCACCTACAAAGCAGTACTACTGACTTTGCTTCTTACACTTTACTGAGCCCCAGATCTTAGAGCCCCAATCACTGTCAAGATCATGTTTGACTGCAACTTTGGAAGGACAGTGACAGAACTGAATGAGATGTTTTCCAATGATTCAGTCACAAAGACAATTTTTTCAAATCTTTTGAAAGTGATTCTCAAATTAATAAATCAAAATCCAACTCCTTTCCCTCAAAGTTTTTAGAGATCTTAAAGGAAAAAGTTTACTGTTGGAGTGCTTTTTATGTGACCCATGTACCAGTTTTAAAGGTGCCATCTATACTTTATCTACATTAAGGGAACACCATGACTTTAAGAGAAAAAAGAATCAGATTAGGCCTAAGATTGGTTGAAGAAGATTAAAAGAGATTCTTATATTCAAGCAGAAGGGAAAAATGAAGCCAATCTAGAAAAGTAAGCTAAAAATTATCCCCTTGGCTTAGGATCACTGGAACAAACTGGGAGTATATCTGTGTGATTACAACCTGCCACTATGAGAAAAAAGAACTGTAACCTGAACATGTTGGCTCACAGAGAGCAATGCCAAAAGAATTCAAAACATTCATGACAGGTCTCGGTCTTTGTGTCAGGAGAAACATGGTAGCTTTCACAGCTTCTTCACCTCTGTCCTCTGTCACGCAACTCCATTTTTGTCTGGATACTATTTCACATACACACCGTACTGGGTGCCAGAAATACTTGTGGTATACTTGGTTTGAGCAGAATCTCTAGTATACACATCCCAGGGAACATGGTTGTCAACATAACAAGTTTAGTGTGTGTATTTGTAGACAATATAGCCCTAAAAGCATGAAATATAGAATAGGTAAGGTCTGTCTTGGGAAAGGAGGAGGAAGTACCAATTTGGTGCAAGAAGATTTTGGTAAGAAAGGACATGGGGGACACAGTTAAGTGAAAGAGGCTTTGAGGAATCAGATGCACATATGGATGATTTTATTTACATATTTATCTAGAGGAGTGATTCTCAACCTTGGCTGTACATAAGAATCACCTCAGGAAACTGTAAAATTCCCAATCATATTAAAATCCTTTGAAGTGGGAGCCAGACACCAATGTCTGTGAAAGCCTCCAAGGTGGTTCTAATGTCCAGCTAAAGTTGATTATCACTGTTTTATGACCACCTAAGGAAAACTTGTTTGTCTGCCTTGGCTGTTATTGCAGCCCCAGTTCTGAGTGGTCAGGGAAGGCTAGTTGTAAGATATAGTAAAGGTATTTATTCTGTATGTCTCACAGAACAAAAGTATGTGAGAATTTCTGACCAGATAGCTCTCTATTAAATCTTAATAACCATCTTTGTGATATTCTCCCATGTGACTTGTCCATCAGTTATTCCAGCTGAAATGTCTAGTTTTTTTTTCAATTGTCTTATACATGTGCCATCACAAGATACCAGAAGTAGCACAGTAAATTCGACAGCATTATAAAGCTAAGTGGAAAACTAATTCTGCATATTTAGACAGTGGAAATTCTCAAAACAATCATTTGCTAAATCAGGTCCAAATTTATTTTTCATTCTTCTTCTGGAGGAGACATGGGTACCAGGTATCTGTTCTGCTATAGGTATATTTCACTAGACTTGGTCTTAGCAAAAAGGAAGAACAAATCTTCCTTTTTTATTATCTCAGTCAAAAGCTCCCAGGACCACTTGGATTTATTTTCTTAGTCTTTGGACATGTGTTTAAGGGAAAAGAATAACTGTAACTTCCTATATGACATCCAGTGCCCTGAAAGAGTGCTTACTCCCTCAAAAAAGGAGAGTCCAGCCTATCAAAGGCAGTAACATATAATGAGAATTTAGAGTTATCTCCTCTCATACTGCTTTCCCTCTGCTATTGGCCCACCCTTCTTGACTGCAAAGCCAGAAAGTAAACTAGGTTGTGGTTTTGGACAATTGTACACAGGATCAGAATCTCTAATAACGTATAATTTTTAGTACTTAATTATGTGATGTTTTATTCTAGGAAATAAGAAACAAATGACATCATTGATGTATCTTTCTTTCATCTTCAGAATTTTTGCATCTTTTCAGAAAACGACAAATTACTATTTTTCTGTTGCACTCAGCAATTGTGACTATACTTAACAAAATTCTTGTAGTCTGTAGAGATATCAATAAAATTGTATATGTTTGTACATAGATGCTCTCTTATGTCATGATGTCATGCACTAATAATTTTTGCCAAGATTACATATGGACAGAGGTAAGACCCATTTATAACACCATGAACTATGGTTTTGCAAAGTGTAATTGTTTTTAAAAGGCAGGGAGGGGGCGGGAGAGGATGTATAGCAAATCTATCAAATACAACTTCCCAAAATTCATACATTTCACTAGAATTTATTAACCCAGTAGCCATTCAAAATCTCCATCAAATTGAGGAAATGTGTTACTTTTTATTGAAAGACTTTAAAGACAATTTTTGATGGTGTTGATTGAAGTCCACTTTCAGTGAAGTACAAGTAAAAATAATTTGGTAATAATGCAGCATAAGAAATCAAGGTGGATAAGATGTACCTACAAACTCAACATTCAGACCTTACATCCTCACTTCTTTGCAGCTCCAGCTTTGTCTTCAGCCAGGAAGAAAAATGAAGCTACTATGGGCGTATTCCATCTCCTAGTAGTTACGATAAACATTCATTAACTCAAAACCGCCAACAGTTCTCTGGAGAGTGTTGTCTCCTGCACCTCTGGCTTTCATCAGCATAGTTAATTCCTCTTCAGGCACTTTCCTCATATTTATCTAGACTGGCTTTATTCTTCTAAATCCTGTCTAATTTAATCTCAGGAAAATTTCCCCCCACTATAATTTTTCTTCTAATTTTGGTTCCATATAAAAATTGAAAAAACAGCAAACGAGCTCAAGGCTAAAAAACTTGATTAAAAATACAAATATACATTTACCTTACTATTTTTGAATTACAATAACTTAGGCTTCAGATACCTGCATTCAATATTTGAAATACTGATTCAACTTCCTTTCTTTCTCCTTCTCTTCCTTCCTGTTTCTTCTGCACCCCTTGTCTCCCACTGTTCCCTACTTCCCTTTCCTCTCCTCCCTTCCTTTCTTCTGTCTTTCCTTTCATTCATTCACTCCAAAAGTCAACCACACTCACAAAGGCTGGTGATGGCAGCTCCATACAAAGACTGCACTGGAGTAGGGAGAGGAGACAGCCCTGGAGTGAAGTGGCAGTGTCAACTCTTCAATGGTCAGTGATGGCATGTGATGTTGGCATTGGAGCAGGGCAGAAGGCAGCCCAGTGGGGTCAGGAGGTTGGCTACATACAGGACATTGAGCAATTAATAAGCATATTGAGACTATGGGAGACAGGTTTCTCACCGATGGAGAAAAAGGAAAGGAAAATTTAAAAGGGAAAGCTAGAATAAACCCTGTAGTCTTGTATTAGAATTGGAACTATCAGTGTAAATTTTTACATAAATACAAAATGTGTATATATAATGTATACAAATACATATGGGTATCACTACATAATTTACATATGTGATATAAAGGTGTGTGTGTGCACACGTGCCTGTGTAATATACATATATTTCTTAAATCTGCACGTCTAGAGGACAGAGAGCAAGCCCCTTACCCCCTGGAGCAATGAGCACAGCTAGTACCTGGATATTTATTTCTAATTACTGTTCTCTACTAAAAGGAACTGGAGCTCACTGAAGAAATGTCTAGTTTCAAGGCTAGAACATGTTTGTGTCAGAAAATAAAGTATTCAAAGAATAACAGGGACATGTCAAAAGGACACAGCAGCTAGCTTAAAGCCTACACAGGGCAAATCAGGTATAATTTGAGCATCAAGGCCAGGTGTGGTCGCTCATTCCTGTAACCCCAGCACTTCGTGAGGCCAAGGTGGGAGGATTGCTTGAGGCTAGGAGTTCAAGACCAGCCCAGGCAACATTGTAAGACCCTGTCTTTACGAAAAAATAAAATATAACAAGAAGAAGAAGAAAAGAAAAAGGAAAAAGCATTAAAAGTCATCACAGTAACTTAATAAGTACCCACTAGTCTACATTGATATAAATAAGAGGGGAAAGAGAAAACTCTTCCTTACAATAGAATGTCAACAAATAAAGAAATGTAGACAGAATTTTAAAATTACCATTTGGCAACCATTATCATAATGACTTGGGCAACAAATACCAGTGGATGCCGACACTAGTGAGGTAAAGTGGGATAGAGGAAGAGGATATTTTCATAGTCTCAAAGAATCTTCACACAAAAAAATTTGCTAATCATAAAGAAAAATATAACTAGAGAAACATGACAGACACCATCTTAATCAAGTGATCAAAGTTCCCACCACCAGCAAGGGAACAAATCAACATCATGTGCCACCTGACAGGATGCAGTGAGAACCCAGCATCACTTCTGTAATATTCCTGCCAAAAACACACAAGCAAGGTATAATCATGAGGCAATAAGCAAAGCCAAATTGAGTGACATTCTGTAGGCTGGACGCGGTGACTCACGTCTGTAATCCAAGCACTTTGGAGGCCCAGGCGGGCGGATCACCTGAGGTCGGGAGTTCAAGACCAGCCTGACCAACATGGTGAAATCTCATCTTCAAAAAAATAAAAAATAAATTAAAAAAAGAGTTACATTCTGTAAAATATCTACCCTCTATTACAAATTTTCAGTGTCATAAAAGTCAAGGAAAGATGTATGTTCCGGATTCAAGTAGACCAGACAGTCATGACAACTAGGTGCAACTCTTAATCTTGGATTGGACCCTTTTGCTATAAATGACATAATTGGAGCAGTTAACAAAAATAAGTGATGATTTCTGACTTAATTGGGATTCTTTGTACTATTCTTCAAACTTTTACCTGGGTTTTGAATTATTTCAAAATAAAATATTTCCAATCTTGTTGCATTACTTGTACTTCGATGGCATTGTCGTCTACCTTTCATAGCAAATGGACAACCAATTTATGGCTTATAGAATGGTCTTGTGAGCTGGTTTGGCAATCCAACCATTATTTAAACATTTTTTTAAATTTGCACTCCAGCCTGGTACCTGGTGACTGAGACTCTGTCTCAAAAAAAAAAAAAAAATGTGTTTTAATTGCACAAATGATATATAAATGGATAGTGTAATAGTCATATGATAAATTTAGACAACATTAAGTATTTCCCTTGGCTACCTCCCACTCATCTAAATTAACGAGTTATCAGTTTGTTGTGTTTCCTTCTAAATATTTTTCTATGCTGCAAAGTGCTTATTCATGTCTCCATTATACCTCGGATTGTTCTACATTGGTACCTATAATTCATTCTTTTTTACTCACTTATATTATTCCATGGTGTCAATAACCATAACTTGTTACCACACTTTTACTAGTATTAGATATTTTCCAGTCTCTTGATTTTACAAACAAGACTGCAGTGAACATTTGCACATGTATTTTGCATATGTGCAAGTGTTTCTCTAGGTAAGAGGTTTAGTGGAATTGCTGAATTAAAGGGCATGCTCGTTCAAACAATTTAAATAGATGTTGACTTTTATTCTACCAGTGTATTAAAAAATAATTTAAAAACTATTCTTCTACCAGGTGAGTCTTAAGATATTATCTATCTAAAAAAATATAAAATCCTGATGATACTTTGATGGAATTACAGTAAGTTCTAGATTAAAAAATAATGAAGTTTTTTGTTGGCATCACTTTCTCTGGGACATCTTTATTCTTTTGTCACAACCATTTTCCTCATTTGTGTTAACTGAGCCTTCACTGTTTCTCAGGTCACGTATCTACAGTATCTCAAACAGCAGCAGTGTCAGCATGCCCAGGCAGCTAGTTGTTCTGTAATTCCATTTATGTTCAATTTGATTTTCACTTCCAGTATTATCATTTTTATTCCTCTGGTACACTTTCATCTTTATTAGCTAATTTCCACTTTTGATTATCCATTTTTGTAGAATGCGGATTTACCATTGGGAGGCAAGCAATCAACACAACTACACTTTGCCATCTGTAAGTAAAGTGAATAACAGATGTGAAGTGACCAATCATAGACAGCCTTTGAAAGAAGTGATGTAACTGGTCCCATCAGGATGCATGTATGAATTTCCTATTACTGCGATAACCAGTTCCACAAACTTACTAGCTCAAAACAATGCAAATTACTGTCATGCAGTTCTAAAGGACAGAAGTCCAAAATGGTCTTAACTGGGCTAGAGTCAAGGTGTTGGCAGGGATACATCCCTCCAGAAGGTACTAGGAGAGAATCCATTTCCTTACCTTTTCCAATTTTAGAGGGTTCCTGCATTCCTTGGCTCATGGCCCCTTCTTCCAACTTTAAAGCCAGCAGTGTAGCATCTTCAAATAGTTCTCTGTTTTTGTCACATCTTCCCTGACTCGGACCATCTGCTTCCCTCTTATAAAGATCCCGGTGATTACAATGGAACCATTCAGATAATCCAGGATAATCACCCACCTCAAGATCTCTAACTTAATCACACCAACAAGGTCCCTTTTGCCATGTAATATAACAGTTCATAGGTTTTGGGAATTAAGCTGTGAACTTTGGGGTGGGGTGCGTTATTCTGCCTAACACAATATGCATTTCTTATTTACGCAGTGGTTGTGATTTGAAGAACTATTCGTGAAGTTTGAATCTCATGGAATTACTTGTAGTTAATATCCACCGGTAACTGAAATTCGAATTGTGTTGTCGGGGGGGCTCGTGTTATTAAGTAAACCATAGTAACCGGGATTTGTGCATATCTGAATCATGCAAAGTGGAGAAGGCCTGTTTCAGGTCCAGTTGACAGGTCAAACAGAATGAGAACTTGCATGTGACTACACATACTGGCCCACAGCTGCAGAGAAGGAGGCAGGAGTGACTTTTATTTGCCCTCATGTTTGAAGAACACTCAGAGGTAAACAGATTGAGCTTTCTCTTGTGCCAGATCTTTCAAGCCTACCAGAATACTGACAGCACTTCAGCTTTCAAGAAACATTGTAGGTAAATATGGAAAAAACTCAAGAAAGAATGATATCTTCCCTCTTACTGCTGCCATCTCTGCCCTCCTCAATGCCCCAAAAAACTACGTCTAAGTCTCTTATGCATTAATACCCAACTACTAATAATGCACTACACTTTATAAAGCAAATATCTTTTCTTTATTCTGATTAATAAACATGAAAGAGCTGTTCTGGTAACTAAGAATATAATCAGTGCTTCCTATGTACTCAGATGTTGCTGAACAAGCTATGGAGTGAGTAAATAAGGAACACGAGTTTCTGACACTTACCGTTTTTAACAAAACAACTGTTGATATAAAGTTTCTCATGAATTCATTTTATTTCAACAGCAAGAAGATCAGCTCCATACCTCTGATTGAGATTACAAAGTATAATCTTTTCAGCATGGGTTTTTCTCACCATGCCACAAATAGAAAGAGGCACTAAGGGACTGATAAGGGGGTATTTTCCATCTCTGGCAGTATTATATTTACCTGCAATAAAAACATCTGATCTTACAGAACAGGATACCTCTTGAAGAGGTTTAGTTTATTTTATGATATATAAGTATTCCAAATACATTCATTGTATGAATTAGGGAAGGAAAAGCAATAAGAAACATTTCATGCATATTCATTCCTAGACTCCAGCCATACCAAGTCTTACCGCTTTATAGAATTCATAATTTATTAGCCAATACTATTGTGAAATACTATTTCAATACTCTAAAAGTGATATTAGAGGGAAAAGAAGTCACACACAATGCCTGACACCACCAGGGTGAAACCAAATCTTTATCCACCTATGGCTCCTGTCAGGGTCAGCAGAGGAAGCAGCTTCATTTTCTTCATGGTTTACCCAGACATGTGGAGCCAAAGTGCCAAGTGCATATTTCAAATATCTGTCCTGAATATGTTTAAAGCCACAGTAAATTACAAAAGGCAAATTCATAGATGCTCTTTGAAAGTGAGTGTAACTATTATACTTGGTATTTCACTTCCCCTAACCCCCAAAAGTTTTTGATGCTACAAAGAACGGACCCTGATACATAGTTTGAAACTCTCACTATAAAATTACTAGGCTAAGTCTATGAAGACTTGAAAGTTCGTTTTCCTGAGGTAGGTGAAAGGGTCATCTCTGTTCTTTCCAGGTGACTATATCTGCACAGGCTTCCCTGGGAGGACTTCATCAACAGCACAGTTACATATCAAAGTCCTTCAGCTCTCCCCAGCTGGCACCTATTTTCACTTTCACTTTCAATTTTACAGACAGTTTTACAGCACTTTCCATTTCATTCTTGACAATCTGAGCTACCTGAAAAAAAAAAAATGAGGTTAACAAACTCTCTGTCCAGTCAAAGAATGTTTCCCAAGCAACCCACTGAGAACCTTATAAACCAGACTGGAGCTCTTCACCCAGTGGTGCTTAAAATGCTAGATCAGAAAATAAAAAAACCAGACATCTGAAACTCTTCTTCACTGATGAGCAGGAGTTTCTGACACTTTTTGCTAGAATTCTTGGAGCTTGGAAACCCTCAGGGAAAGACTGAAAATTTTTGTTCAATTTCTCTAAGACAAAAACATCTCTGCATTGGCAATTTCTTAACTTATTAAGAATTAGTACAAAATGGAACACTCTTAGCTCATTTTCTGCCCATAAGGACTCAATATTTATACAGCCATCCTGGGGCTAGGGTAGAGTTCCAAAATCCTCATGCATAGGGAAAAAAGCTGTCAGCCTGACAATACAGTGTCTTGACTTCCTATGGAATGGACACAAGCATTGCAAAAATACCTGAACAACGTCTTCTTCTGCCACTTCATATTAGAGTTCATCATGGAGTTGAAGGATGAAGAAGCCTCCTCTGATTGGGCAGCACATCCCTTGCAGTTTTCTCTTTGGTAACAATCCTACTTCATGAAAAAGTAGCAAAACTGATCAGCATGTTGCTGTGTCATAGAATATTTTTAGAGATTCTGAGTAACTCTGGGGAATTTTAATCAAGAGATCAAAACACACAAGACTAAGAACTATCAGAAACATAACTACATCCTGGTTGCTACCTACCCTACCTATCTGGCATAAACTCATCAACTTCCTCCCAGAAAGAAGAAGTCTCACAAAGAAGTCAGTAAATGGGGTGTAAAGAACTCTGCGCCAAACTCTAGTCCAACTTATTTCTCATGAATAACATTTTCTCATTCCATGGAATTCCCCTACCACCATCTGAGTGTAATAGCACCAGGGAGGTATGGGGCCTGATTCCTGCCCCAGGAAAGCAAACTAGTATTGTTAGGCAGTGCTTCTTAAGAGGGGCACTCCCTCATGTCTTTGTATGGCCAGAAGTGTCACCGTGATAGAACTGGTGCTTCCCCAATTGGACCGTACAGTCTAAACAAGTAATTCTAAACGTGGGCTCCCAATGTGGCCTTCAGAGAGTATGCAAACCCCTTGCAGTTATATGTAAGAGTCTATGTAAGTTTTTCTATGGAGATAATCCATACCTTCCAGTAGCCATAACTCCAAAATATATATTAGACTTAGTCACTATTTCCTCATTAGCTGGACCTAGTGGTACAGATTATGCCCTTCTTAACACAAAGATAGAGCTCAACATAAACACCTTTACTGGAACTGCTTTTACCTGTTTGCTTAAACCTCACAGCAGTTATATTCTTTTCTGCTGTCCAAATTCCCTATTTATCTTTCAGGCCCAGCAGGAGTACCATCTCCCTCAGTATATCTGTTGCTTCCCTCTGAGAGAGAGTTCTTCAACTGTCACTATACGCAGTGCCAGTTTGCTCAGAGGCGGCTCTCACACAGTAGGCAAACACAAGCAGCCGAGGCTGGAGCAAGCTGCTTCCACACCAGGACCGCAAAGGCTGTACCTCTGTTCCCCAGTTTGGCTGAAGTCTGATCTGCCCCATGAAGTCACACTTAGCTCATACTATTGACTGTCTGGATGCTCTAGCTTTTCTGCTTTCTGATGACCACGCCTTTGCCGTCTTGATTTCCCTTGGTTACCGGCTTCTGACCCAGAATGCCATGATGCTCTTGTTCCCCGTGTGTTCTGCTTCCTCATGCTCACCTTCCTTTCATCCCACCAACCTATCACTACTTTAAGCTGCCATGACACCATGAGGTCTTCCTCAGTGACAGAGCCGTATCATCTTCCACTGACTCTTAAAGTCGTTATTGTTGCTGGGACCACAGGTGTGAACCACTGTGTCCAGCCCAACAGGCAACCGTTTAAATGTCTCTAAGTTATCTATGCCTACCAAATTCTCTTATTCCTGCTAGTCTGTTGCACTCCTATCCATCTCCTCCTCCCTCTTTCCCTCCCTTTCTCCTCTGTTTCTCCTCTTTCCCCCTCCTTCTCTCTAAATCTCTTTCAAAACTCAATTTCAGCTGGGCAAAGTGGCTTATGCCTGTAATCCCAGCACTTTGGGAGGCCAATGCAGGTGGATTACGAGGTCAGGAAATCGAGACCATCCTGGCCAACATGGTAAAACTGCATCTCTACTAAAATACAAAAAATTAGCTGGGCATGTGGTGCACACCTGTAGTCCCAGCTACTTGGGAGGCTGAGGCAGGGGAATCACTTGAACCTGGGAGGCCAAGGTTGCAGTGAGCCGAGTTCACGCCATTGTACTCCAGCCTGGGCGACAAGAGCAAAACTCCATCTCAAAAAAAAAAAAAAAAAAAGCAGTTTCTCAGCGGTGGTTCACATCTATAATCCCTGCACTTCGGTAGGCCAAGGCAGGTGAATCACTTGAGGTCAGGAGTTCAAGACAAGGCTGGTCAACATGTTGAAACCCCATCTCTACTAAAAACACAAAAATTAGCCACACATGGTGGTACATGCCTGTAATCCCAGCTACTTGGGAGGATGAGGCAGGAGTATTGCTTGAGGCTGGGAGACAGAGGTCGCAGTAAGCTGAGATCAAGCCACTGCACTCCAGTCTGGGTGAGACAGCAAGACTCCGCCTCAAAGGAAAAAAAAAAAAGAAAATATACTGAAGCAAAAAGGCCAATAAAGAAAAACAAAATTAAAGAGAGAAGGAAGCAAAGTATTAAGAGGGGTACTTACGGGATTGGGATTCCCTTGGAAAGTCACTTAGTTCATTGTTTTTATTTTTTTAATAAGAATGAGAAAAAGGCTAGGAACAGTGGCTCCAGACTATAATCCCAACACTTTGGGAGTCCAAGGCAGGAGGATCACTTGAACCCAGGCGTTTGAGGCTGGCCTCTGCAACATAGCCAGACCCTGTCTCTATTTAATTGTTTTAATGAGGAAAAAATGAAAATTTAAAGAGAAATCAGATTTGCTGAACTCTTTCTCCATCTCTTCCCTGTTTTCAGTTGGCCTGGTTACGTGCTGAGTTTTACCTTGAGTGGACCCAGGGTAGGGACCAGCCTAGCTTTGCCTCAGGCAGCTCCTCCTTCCTTTTCTCTGCCCTCTGTTTTCCTAACTAGGCGGGAAATGCAGTTTCCTATCTTGCAGATAGAAGCTAGTCTGCCCTATCCCCCTACTCCCAAGACCCTAGTGTGTGATCTTCCCCTCCCTGTGTCTGTGTGTTCTCATCGTTGAACACCCACTTTTGAGAACATGCAGTGTTTGGTTTTCTGTTATTGGGTCACTTTGCTGAAAATGATGGTTTCCAGTTTCATTCACATCCTTGCAAAGGACTCGAATGCATCCTTTTTTTTATGGCTGCATAGTATTCCATGGTGTACCTGTGCCACATTTT